GAAATGTCATTGTAAAAGTCAATTTCTTATATAATATATGGATCATTCTTGAAAATTTGTCATTATAGAGAAAATTCAGTTAGAGAGGTTTATCTGATAAAATAAAAGTTTAACTTTTTTATTAATGAAATAATATTTATAGCATCAATATTCTCTATTATAATATTGGGTTATTTTCGTATATCAGAAAACCAACTTTCAATGATATCGACAATTTATAACGGCTACATACGTAATACATGTCAGTTTCTTGAAATAAAAAATTTATGGAGTAAGGTGGTTATGCATATAAGTCAACTTCCTAGATCACTTTTAATCACAGAATAATTGTAGAAAAAGCTTGCAAATGACGTGAAAAGCATAAATCTTGATTATTATTCCAAGTTATATAATCTATGTCTAGTGAGAAAATAAAAGTAAAGGATGATATATAGAATATTGAATAGGATTAGAAGTATATAGTGCAAAAAAAATATTTACTTACCTTAGTTAGAAATTCACACTCCTATCTTATTTTCTATTTCGATTATAATTAGTATAACACTAATAAAAATAAAAAATTAATGTTGTTTCAATTAAAAGATAAATACCAATAAAGTTTAAGTAATAATAAAAATATTGATAAATCACTATACTTTTAGTTTTCCAGATTCTTTCTATAGCAAGTTATTTTGTATCTCATCTTTTTTTCTGTGTTGCGTTTCTTTTGTGAGTTACTGTATATTGAATATGAATAATTAATATGAATAGAGAATTTATGCAGCTTTATTGAAAAACCAAATTAACAGAATTTATTGAAAGATATCACAGAAGTATTAAGGAGCTGGTATCTATTATTCTAATATTTTATTATAATTAAATACTAATAACTCTTTATAACAAATTCATTATCTAGATATATTGAATATTTGCTTTAGTAACTTATTATATTCTAAAATATTTGCTTTAGTAACTTATTATATTCTAAAATTTTTAAATATCAAAAAAATAATTTCTCAAAGAAATTGAAATTCTCAGCTTTAATCTTGCTTATTCAATATTAAGAACTTGAAAAATTCAAGTATTTGAACATTATAATTCATGAAATTTTGTAATTATATTCTTTATTTTATTGATAAATAGAAAAAATATAATAGTTAATAAAATAGATAAATATAAATAAAAGTCAGATATATTATGTTTGTTATTTTTTCAAGTTTTATATATGAATGAAAAATATTGGATAAATTCTTATAAATTCAATTCTGAGAGATTCTTAGCAAATATTTGAAATTTAATTGATATTTGAGAAATTTCTAGTCGAGTATATGGAAGCAAATTCAGAGATAGACATGATTTATGATGTAGGCGAAGAAATGACATCGGGACAATAGCTGTGCTTGTAATGTCGATAGGCATGTATGTCGGCGTTAAATTAAGAATAAAGCAATTGGTATCGATATTATTTTCAAATAAAAAGTCAATTATTATTATTGAGTATGCGTTATCATTGTCGATTGCATTAATTTTTACATTATTATGAGGTTTATACTGAATTGTTGACGACGTGATATTGGAGACATATAATTTATCAAAGCAGACGACGTTATTATCCCTTGGGATGAATTACTCATTAAGCTAGATTCGACAGACATAGTAAATGTTTTTTATATTCCTTAAATATAAACTTTTTAGGCTTGCATACTTTGCATTTTCGGCCTATACTTATAGTTGGGACACAAATTTTCGTGATTCTTACAAGCTATTTTCTTTAATAAATTGAAAAAATCTTTAACTTTTCTTAGTTGAGATTTGCACCTCTTTGCAATATGTGTAACTTTTTGTTTGACATTAGAATTTACATGTAATTGAAGTAATTTAGCTTCACACCGATTCTGTGGTCTTGATGGACTATCAGAATTATCGCGTGTTTTCGTAGAAGGATTGGTTAGTTCTTGAATCGTGAGAGTTAGATCATAGGGACATTTATTTAGAAGATGCCATAGGCATTTTTTGTTAAAATGACTGAATCCTGGCACGTAATGTCTCAACCATCTCGGAAGTGCAAAATGTATATTGTATCAGTGCTCCATCCTCTAATGAGTTTTGTGGGTTCGACTGAAATTTCATACGCAGTGGAATTACTGTTTGATTTTTGTATAAACCTTTTCGATTCTTTATAATTCTCGAACGGATAATTATTTTTTTAGGTAATGAGCTAATGATCTAATGAGCCTCCCGTTTTACCAGTGCTAAAATTATAAAATATAATAATAAATTATATTTTGGTATATCTATAAATTTAAAAAATAAAATGTCATTTATCCTATTAAAAATTGGTATTTGTCGAAGGGTCCACCAATTTATCCATAAGTTCCGCATTACAGGTTACCACAATTCTCTGCGTGCCAAGGTAATAGTCAAAATAATCGCCGTAACGTTCACGTAATGCAAAAAGCCATTTTGGAGCATTGTCTTGCTACTTCAATCAGGTTTTCAATTGATGGCAATGGTCCAGGTAATTTATTCTTTCTCGAAAAGTACTTGTAGTAGTAGAAGGAAACATAGACGGCGAACGCAGTTAACATTACTGAGGTCAATCAGAGGTTAAAAGTATATTTGAGATCAACAGTTTTGTTCTTTGGTTTGTTGATTTTTAAAATGTATATTAAAAAGGTATTAACAAGAATTGAGCTTAATGAACTAGGAATTTAATAATTTGTAAGAATTAATGCTTTCTTAGACTTTTTTGGTTCCTGAGTTTTCGACTGAGTTTTCGATCATCATCATTTTTTTCATTCTTGGCATTATGTACCGTCTGTCATTTTTTCACCCAAAAATAGAAATTCGCCTCATTAAATAAAATCATTTGAGCTTTTAAAGATCAAAGAATTGAAAACATTACAATTGGAACAATGAACAAAATAGAATTTTATTTATAATCGTGGCTTCATTCAGCTTTCAACTTTGCAAAATTGGGAGAAAGAAAGCTTCAGAATGATCAAAACTTATTTATTTCAATTAGAACTTTTAAAGATCAAAGAATCAAACATGTTACAATTGGAACAATGAACAAAATAGATTTTTTTATTTACAATCGCGACTTCATTCAGTTTTCAAATTGGGATAAAAGAAAGTTCAGAATGATCAAACTTATTTCAATTAGGATGAAGCTTCCTTATTTCTTCGTTCGCAAGATAATTGACAGTACCAGATAAAATATGTAGTATTATAGCGAGTGCTATGTGTGAATTGGAATATTTGCATCCATAAATAAACAATGATCTTCAAAATTAATTTCTATTTCTATTAAAATTATTCTTTAAACACTAATAATACCTCTCTATCATTATCTGATTTTGCTTTCCTAAGTGTACAGAAATTCTTAATAACTGCGAGGATTTAAATAAATCGGATTTAAAATATTTTATTATATAAAGAATTATTTGATATATGAAAGATTTTAATTGGACCAGATATCGAGTCATTCGTAAGAAGTTTATATGGAATCGAAAAATTATATGAGATTTGACTTAAATGTTTATTTTTTGTTACATGATCTTAAACTTTACTATCGTAAGTTCGAGTTGTCATTATTTTTTCTTAGATATAAAATTACAAGAATGAATCTAGAGGATATTTTACGGACTATGGGTTTATAAATTTAGAATGATATAAATTGAAACCAAGCAGAGGCAGTTACATATTGTTCATTAAATGAATAATCTTCTAGATTATGCAGTTGATCAAGGTCGTCGATCTTCGATGACCTTTTCGATATTGAAGAAATTTGTTTATATGGCTGTTCTACTAAAGGCATTGGTGATGATTGTGATAATGAGTGACTAAATTCGAAATTGTCCAAGTCTAAAGGAGATGATTCTTTGGATATTGACGACAGATCTAAGTTTAAATTTATATCTTCATTGTTAATATAATTATTGCCGTTTTCATTTAATTTGAATTCTTCTTCGCTATAAGAGTAATCAACAAATTTGGTTTGATTTTGTTGCTGATTTGATAACGAATCGAATTGTTCATCACTAATATCAAAATCAAGAAGTGTCGGAGAGTCCGAAGATGGTGGTATAGATATATCTGAAATTTGTAACGAAGACGAAGACAAAAATTCAGTAGAAGAATTAAATGATTCATTTAATTCACATGAGTCATTAATTTTTTTTGCAGCTTCTGTGGGGTTCGTTGCCGTCGTTTTTGCTACTCTACGAACTTTTTTCGATTGAATCATTGATTTCGGATATTCGAGATCATGTTGAATTTTTGCAAGTTTTGCAATTCTTTTATATTCTGCTTTAACCATCGGTGGCTCGTGATTCCAAGCCTGCGAGGCCATAGTGGATATAACAGTCATTGGCAATATATATCCTTCAGCTCTCGCTGCTTTGACATAGACACGTCGGTAAACAATAAACGCATTTGGGGGTTTTTTGCCAATTTTATCTCCATTACTTTTCAAAAGACTTTTTTTAAGCAAATCATTTTCATTGAGGAATGGAGGAAATGGAGGTCTAAAAGTAGGGTTGACGTCTCCTTCAGTAATTACACTATTTGGATTACTTTTGTCGGTGGCGTCAATGAAAATAAAAGACCGTTTGGTTTCTTTTTTTGAATTAACGTTGAAGTTATGAAAATTGATCATCTGTGTTTTGTCCATTGATAAAGTATAGTTTTATTAGGCAGAGACTCTGCGTTTTTTCGGACAAGTTAAATTTTTAGTAATCTCTCTCTTTTATATATTTAAAAAAATGGAATATTATTAATCCCACAGAACATTCATGACGTATGATGTCACCAAGATGTCGTCAATGCGCAGGCAACATGTGAACGTTTTACTGCGTTAACGGTAGGTTAAATTAGCCATCCGATATTGATGGTTGCACAATCGACGATCAAACCGGTCCTACCTACTCCCAGAATAAACATTTATACCCCATTTTAACATTCCTAATTGTTTTCGGCATGTTGTTGCTGCGACGACATAACATCAGGACCAATCACGTTAACAAATCGACCAATCAAATTCAAACTAACGAAAAATGATCCTATGAAAAAGGGACATGCTTTTTACTGACGGAAAAATCCAGCAATTGTCGCCGGCGGCGAAGAATATACTTTTCAAATTATACGTTCTAAAGAATTTTTATTAAACTCGATTAAATTTCATGCATATGCATATACAGTGCTCCGCAGAAGTATCCGCCCCCCCCCCCCCCCCTAACTTTTTGTAAATCATGTATAATGCACCAAATTTTTCGAGCACAAAGAACATTACAAATGCTGGTCATGATACCTTTTATATTCTATATCAGGCATTGTATGTTCATAAATTTTCACGTCCCAAATATTATCAGTTATTTCATAACACACATCTCAATATCCAATAATCTAATTTTTGACGTCCGGTGACCCGATTTGAACAAAAATACGACCATTTGATTCGTCTAATCAAGACGAATCAAAACAGTATTATTTTTGTTCAAATCGGGTCACTGGATGTCGAAATATTGCGTCTTAAAGTGGATCAATTTCTAATGAAAAATTGATCGACAAATATGATGTCTAGAGGAGTGAAAATACCACCATTCGATTTGCCTAGATTAGGCAAATTGTATGGTATTATTTCTCACTCAAATTGGATTATGTGACCGATTTACTGTATTTGGGTATGAAAGTTTATGAACATACAATACCCTATATAGAAAGCTCTACCAATCTATGATCAGCATTTGTAATGTTCTTTGTGCTCGGAAAAATTTTTTGGTGCATTACACATGATCTATGGAAAGTTAGAAGGGGTCGGATACTTTTGCGGTTGACTGTAATGGGATACATATGGAATAGGCAAGTATCATAAATTTTTGAAATAACATGGCTGAATTCAAGATTCAATACACATGTATACGTTAATTTATTATGTTTTGAAATGCTTTGTTCTCAGTTTTTTTATTGTGACGAAGCTTCTTAAAACATTTGATATCTCTTCATTTTTCTTGATTTCATGTGATATATTAATGTTGAAATCTGCACCTAGTGAAAAAATAATTCTAATTTGTAATTTTTATTTTTCGTTTGGAACATAGATACTGATTTGCTTCCTTGGAACAGTAAAATTATCTTGATTCAAGCAATCAATTGCATAATGATCTCTTTTATGATTAGGAAAATACTTGGCATTATGCACATTAACTCAAAATATAACATTTAAGTGCTCAATGACACAAATGATATTATCATTAATAACACCACCATAAATAATCTAACTAAAAGAAAAAAAAATGCATTTCAAAACTTCTTTCTTACTCATCATTTCCTTAATCTTCAATCTCGGAATTACCACAGCAGCCCCTGTTGTCGCTGCTGAACCAGCGTCAGCTCAAGTTCCGGTTGTTTTTGCTGTCGAAAATGAATTTGACGCGCAGTTACAAGCTGCAGAAGCACATAATTTGCAAGCGGCTGCTGTGAATGAAGAGGAAATTGCTGCAGCAAATGATGCAGAGCACGGTCAGTTGTTTATGGTCAACGAGACATAATGAAAATATAGGTTTGCTGTTAAAAACCTACTGTAGCTGTAGAATATCGTTCCCTGTTAATTTATAATTAGACAAGCATAATCAATTTACTAAAACTCGCAAAACTTGTTAATTCCCGAACTTTATCATGTTTTAAGCTTTTTCATATTTCAAATTTAATCGAAAATCTATGTGTGTACAATTGTGTTTGTGTGTTAAATTTCCATGGATTTGTTATTTCTTTGAAATATATATCTTAGAAACTCTTATTAAGTTCTATTTCGGAAGTAAATCCAAAATTTAATTTTATTATATGGTTAAAAAAGTCAAATCTATTATACATGTATAATTAAATATTGTCGATTATGACCTGCACCATCATTGTATCATTGATGCAGCTCTTGGCAAATAGTACCTTGTGTCTCCTGACATTCTAGATCCAAAGCCAATTAAAGAAAGCCATTAAAAAAAAGGGCGATGTGTTCTTTGTTAAAAGGGCACGGTTTGACAAGAATTGCGGAAAAGATAAATTTCAAAGTAATTGCAATGATGACAGTTTACTTAATAACTTTCATAAGTTTAAAAATAAATATTCAAACTTGTACATTTCTTGATATATAACATCGATTCACAGATTAAGCGTTCCTTTCTTAATTGACCATACAAAAGAGTAGGGTCTGTTGCACGGAAAGGGTTATTATGGAATAATACATTAACAAAACTGCCTATCTGATCAGGATTACGAGGGTTTTACGTTACAATCTACCAAGCTCACTACCTATTTACTAGACCAGGTCCAATATAACGCGAGGAGTACGCTGTCACAGAAAGAGTTGGATTTAAAAATAATGTGTTACGCGTTTATTTTTAGTTAAGGTTTGTTAACAAGCTTTATCGCATGCGTTACATCTAGTGAAAAACAACAAACATTTTAATTTCAAAACCTTGCGTAACGTATTGCACGGAATTATCTTGACATGCATAACTAACTAAATTTATAATTTTTTTTGTTCATTCAAACCATACATGTAATATTTACACCAAAACATGCAAAAATGCAAATTCATTAGCTCGTGATACTACTAAATGTTGTGCATCGTATGATTAACTAAGAACCAATCAGTTCTAAACTGTTTTCCCCAAGCGACGATGCGCTGACAAGAAATAACTGTATCGATCGATAACGAGTGGGCTTGTTCTAAACTACATAAATTCTCTTTTCACACCCATTTTTCATTTTCCCCTTACTATCTCATCTCTTAGTAATGAAATGAATTTATAGACATTCATTCTTTTTTCACCTTTTTAATGCAATGAATTCATTCTTTCGTGGTTCTATTGCGAAAACTCTTTAAAACAATACACCATAAAAAAAAAGCAAAATTTATTCACAAATAAAACAAGCGAAATTCAAAAAAAAGATTTCAAATGAGCAGAATGCGACCAATATTAACGACAGACTTGGATGATTTTTGTCCTAATACAATGAGAGGAAAGCATATTTTAGGTATTTATTTTTTTAATGTCATTTTTTCTTATCCGAAATCGTATAAAACAATTCTTTTTGATAATAGTATTAGGCGCAACGAGTCGTCTAGGTGTATGTGTTGTTGATCAAGCATTAGAAGCGTCATATCATGTAACAGTACTAGTGCGAGAGGATCGTAACCTTCCGTTTAAAAAACACCATCTTCGAAATCCAAACTTTGTAGTATGTGTCGGCTCAGTACTCGATCGAAGCAATCTTGATAAGGTAGTCGAAGGAAAAGATGCAATAATAAATTGTCTAGGTCCACGTAACACATGGTTCGGTGATACAACAATAAGTTCACGTGCACAACCAATAATCAACGAAAGTATGAAATCGCTTGGCGTGAAAAGAATAATAGTTGTCACATCACAAGGTTGTGGTGATAGTATTCGATATGTGCGTCCCATCCAACATTTTTTTGTTAGATTGTTTGTTGGGAAAGTAATAGACGATAAACAGATGCAAGAATTTTTGATTCTCGAGAATAAGGAGGATTTGGATTGGACAATTATTAGACCGGGAAGATTGGTCGATGGAAAATTGACGAAACGATATCGGATTAACGAACATTTAACTTTTACAAAAATTAATAGAGCTGATGTGGCTCATTTCATCTTACAAGAGTTACGAACAAGTATGTGGTTGAAAAGAACACCAACGGTAAATGGGTATGATCGCTATTGGTTTACGTGAGTTTAGGATGTTATATTTTGATAGATGCGAACTGTCACTCAAAAAATAAAATTAAAGACTAAGAATTTTTTATAATGAGCATTAAATCTTTCTAATATAACTTTTGGTGATTTTCTTTGCATTATACAAGCAACGTATTCCGAAAAGATATTTAAAGAATTAACAATTCGCTTGAATGTACTAATTTCCCCAAGTCCTGATTAACAAATCACAAGAAAATGAACCTTTGTTGGTTCCGCATGTGATCGATTTTGTTATTCGCGATGGGATTATCTACATTCAATCAGAATTCGGTGAAAAGTTCATTATCAATATGTTTTTTTACACAGCCGTCATTGTACGGATTAGAAACGGATTTAATTTTCTTATACAGTGGCCTGCAAAAATAACACGTCACTTTCATTGCTAATCGTTAATTACCTGATTCTCGCACACATGTAATCCTATGAACTTTAATACTATTCAACTTCAAAAAATAGAAGAAATAAATGACCTTAAACAAAAAAGACATTCCGGCCATCCAACTCATCTTACTCCTATTTAATGATACTATCTTGATTGGATTGGAAAATCTTAAAAATTAATATCAAGTAATGAACTAGCAGAAATCTTATAAAAATCTATCCTAATCTCAATATTACAGCTAGAATAATTAGAGATAATTTTTAAAAGCTTTGATATAAAGTTTGTATATTTCATTCAGTTCTCTTACTTATTAAAAATATTATTAAATATTATTATCATAGTAACATAAAATTCTCTAATTTCATAATCTTTCTTTAGTTATGTGAAATTTCATTTTTCTATCATTTTATAATTTATCATATAATTATACTTATTTCTATATAATTATACATATTCTCTTTATTATATTTATCCCTTATAATTATATTTTTATTTTAAAACATTATATCTTATTCTCTTAATGTGAGATCTACATTTTTGATTTATATGTCATATATTTTTCATGTACTTATTAGAATAGTATATTTGAAGATTCTTTTTAATTTTGATAAAATGATAAAATATCAATATTTTAGATATCAATATTTGAAATACCAATGTAATATCAATATTTATAATATTCATATTTTAAATATCAATATTTATAATATTCATATTTTAAATGTTAACATTTGCAATATTTACATTTTAAATATTAATATTTGTAATATTAACATTTTGAATATTGACATTTTTAATATTATATTAGTAGATTATAGTTCTTTATAATAACATATATATTTAAATAATATTAACTAGTAATACTATAATAATTTATATATTCAAAAAATATATAAAAGGATCTGCTATTTCAGCTTGAAATAAATAGTTTTGGATTGAATTATTTGAAAAATATAATTAAAAAGCTTATTATTATAATAGTAATCTTTTTACAAGATTTCTTTTCTAATTATAC